CTTACCGTCACGCGTCGCGCAGAGACAAGGAATCGTCTGACCGAGGTGGTCAACGCTGTTGAGCTTGGCGTCCCAGAGCGTAACGAGCTCTTCGGCGAGTTCGACGTGATTGAGATAGCACGCCCACGCCAGCGGCGTGCGGCCGTAGGCGTCGACGGCGTTGATAGTTGCGCCGTGCTGAAGCAGCACCCTTGCCGTGTCCACTTGGCCACGGATCGCTGCCCAATGCAGTGGCGTGCGCCGAAAGAGGCCTACACCGTGTGCAAAGTGACTTTAGCGGCGGCGACAGGAAGCCAAGATACCTTTGGACTGCTCGCCAAGCGTGTTGACCGACTCGTCCGAGAGAAAGGGGAGGAGGAGATCGGGGTCACCTTGGGCAGCGGCATCGTGAAGCGGAGTGAGCGCAATGTCAGCCCCCCACGTCTCCATGAGGTGTGCGATTGCGTGGCGTCCGTGCAGCAGCGCGTCTTCGTAGGCGGTCAAGTAAAATCCATGCTTGGGCACGTGCCTACATGCAAGATCCCGAGATCAAACTTGGAATCCAAGAACAAAGCGCAATTACAGCTGGTTGGCGCCGTGCTCCAAGAGGAGTTTGGTCACGTCCGGGTGGGTCGCCCAAAAGAGCGGCGGCGTCGCGTACGTTGGCAGCGTCGACTGCGCGGGCACGTTGGGGTCGGCGCCAGCTGCCAAGAGTTTCTGGACCATCGGCACGTCGCTGCGGACGACAGCAACGTGCAGTGGCGTCATCAAGGTGTGCTTGAACCAGCCACGCGGGCCATAGAGGCTCGGCGGCTCTTCAAAATTGGGCGAAAAAAAGCAAAACACCTTGTCGTACACGTGGCGTAATGCAAACTCGGACAGCTGCACCTTCTCGAGCGTATTGAGCCCAAACCCAACCTACCACAGTACATCAATCCAAACTTCCATCGATGTAGTCGCATCCTACGTCCAAGAGGTAGCACGCAATTTCGTGCTGGTGGGTCTTGAGCGCCAGGTGCAGCGGGTTGTGCTGGGAGCTCGCAACGCGCTTATGGCAGCGCAGCGTCACGCCGGAAAACCAGTTGGTTGCAAACGCAGGGTCTTCGCCAAGCGCTTTGGTCACGGCTGCGTGGAGCGCCTCCATGTCCTTCTCCTGGACGGCCATCCACATGCGGTGGCGTAAGATCTCAGTCCGCGAGCGGTTGAACGGACGGTCATGCGCGAGGTGCGCGTCGCCAAACACGCCGTGTTGCAAGAGCAAATGCGTGCGGAGCTGATGGAACATGACGAGGAAGTCCCACGTCACGATATACGCCCAGAGCGCAAAGACGAACGAAATGCCCAGGAGAAGACCATGCAGCGTCTCGTCCATTGCTACCAATCATTTCTATCAACTTGATACATATCGATATGTGGTGGCGTACCTGAGGGGCAATCCCACGTCCAGCTCGGCTGCGCCATACCGAGCGGAATGTACACGATTGTGAGTGCGAGCAGCGCGATTTGCGCCAGCGCGACGCATTCGCAGAGCCGCAGAAACGTCGTGCGCACCACGTGAAGCTGTTTTCGGGACGGCGGCTGCGACGACGTGTCCGTGTCGAGGAGCGTGTCTGAGAGCCGGTGGCGCTTTCGCCGGGACGCGCGGTCGTAGCGCACGTGGTAGAGCTTGAAGAACTTGTGGCCTGTCGTCGGCAGGAAGAGGACAAAGCTGGTGCCCCAGAGCACGCTGCGCAGAAGGAGTCGCACCGTGTTGTAGCGCTCGCAGGTCGCGCTGTGGGTGATGGCCTCGCCGCGATAGGCGTTGAAGAGCAGCGTCTGTGCGATAAGGATCATGTTGATGTAGCTCACGCGCGCCAGCTGCACGCGCATCGACTTGGAGACAAACACATTCTTCTTGCAAACGACAGCCTTGTCGTCGAGCGACGAGTATGAGGTCGTCGAGTGGTGCCGCACGCCGAGGGACGCCGGGTGGTGCGTTGGCCACTGCCCGTAATGGAGGCCACTCATGCTGCGGCTGCTGTCCGTCGATGGCCGCGCCGCCCAAGTTGTACTGCACTGCAGTTGGCGCCGCCGTTGAAAACACCATCGCGTGTACCCACAACCCGCTCGCAACGAGCCAATCACACGGGCTTAATATACTGCTGGCCAATCCGATCGCGGTACCATCGGCATGTCGCAGCTTCTGTAACACGTGGACGGGCCAATCCACATCACCGCGCGGACTCTGCATCGAGCTCCGTGGACGACACTGTCTACAGGCGAAGCACCCGCATCGAAGTCGCAACGAAGCCGATGGAAGGTTCTCGACAAGTCCCAATGGTGCGCGCCAAGCTGCTGCGATCTCGTAGTCGAGATAATGAGCCGCAAGAAGTGGCAAGCCAGGAGGCCATCGAACCAGTTCTTAGACGATATGCTATCCGACACATGCAGGACACGCGTCGGAGGCGCTTGCAGCACATGTGAGCAGTAACAGAATGATCGCTACACCCGGCCAATGTCCACGCTACCAGCCAGCCTAGTACGGCTCTATTGACCCAGGACCAGCAACGACGACGAGAACGCACTTCGCATTTCTTAGCGTCGAGGCAGCTTCTGGTCACTTCGAATGGCACAGCAGAGGGGGTCGATGGTGGTGCGAGGTGAGCTGTAAATGGCCTGCGGCGTGTACTGGGCGTAGAAGGCGCGGCGGGCCGTCGACGTTGCATTCACAGCGGAAAAGTGCCAAATGTCTGACCGGAAGACGACGGCGGCGCCCGCAGCAACTGCAAGCGGGGCTGTTGCCGCCGCTAAATCCAAGTCGGCGGGGTCTTCGACGCCATACGGGTGATGTGTCCACGGAAGAAATCGAAGCGCGCCGTTCGTTGCTGTGACGTCGTCGAGCGCAACCCACGCAGAGAGGTACCACGGGATCGACGACCGATGTACGCACATGCCGAGCTGCTCTGCGTCGTCCTACAGACGTCGTAGTATGTTGTACGCCATCATTCGAAGTGAACCTGGTGCCATCGAAACTCGACGTTTGTCTCTGGCGGCTTGACGACATAGTGCTCGTTGAAGAAGTAGACGTCGCCTGGCACATCTTCCGTGTGGCCAAAAAGAGGCGCGAGGGCTTGCGGAAGGTCTTCAAAGAGAAGCGTCTCGATGCAATCGCTCTCGGACGTTGCGCGCGTTTGCTTGCGACGCGTGGTCATGTACACATCGCGCTGCGTTCGTGCGCTTCGAGTCATCTGTGGCATGGACGTAGTTATGCGCCTTGGCTATCAGCAGCACGATGATGCACTACGTACGTGGGCGGTGGCGAACGGATCAAGTACACAGCCCTACAGGACCAAGCGTGAGAGCACCTTTTGACGAGACAGGCTTACGAGCTCCACGATGGCCTCGGGGGTCGTTGCTGCGTACAAATCATCGCACTCTGCGCGCAGTGCGTGGAGCTGCGCTTGCGTCAGGAAGCCATTGATGACGACGTAGCCGTCGCGGGCGAACGCGTCCGCGTCGACGTGCGCGTCTGGCTGCTTGCGCTTGGGCATTTGATTTTCGATCCAACACTACTTTTGCTCACTGAAATAGTCTAGGTGCATTTTCACACTATATTTCGATTAATTGTACTACGAAGCGAAATAGTGTACAGTGGTATGGGGTCGTTGGCGTCAACAAGAAAGATGCCAAGGATGGTGTGTACACGGCCGCGCGCTTGACTGCGCAAGGACACGGCGCTTCGCGCCCATGCTGCCGAGAAGCTGGACGAGGCGCATGGCGGCGATTCCTGGGCGCTTCTATGGGTTCGACCCGACCCTGAACAGGCGCAGTTGACGCTCAGCGCAGTTGACGCCAAGCGCAACTCCATGCAGGGTTGCCAGGGTTGATGAAGGCGTTGCCACGCGGGTTGCAAGTGCAGGTCGACGCTGCTGCACCTGCCACTCTTGCGTTGGTAGAGCTCGGCTTGTCGGAACGCAGGATAGGTGGAGGCGGACGGCGGAGAATTCATTCATTTAGAAGACTCGAGGGATCTATGCTGCATGCATGGCGGATATATGATGATGATTTAGTTCGAATGAGGAGGACGCAATGGATTTACTCCTTCTTGCCCTGGCCCCACGACATGTTCCACCAGCCGCGGAGCGTCTGGGCCATACCGAGGCCGAAGAGGACGGCAGCGGCCGTGTTGACGGCCTTGTCGTTCGCGCCCTTCGTGTACGTCGGGTTCTCGGCGCCGTGGAGGTTCGGGTGGGCGTTAAAGCGGGCCTGGAGCTCACGGACGCGGGACGGGTACTTGACGAGGTTGCGGATCATCTTGGCGGCTGCGAGAGGAAATTCGGAACTGACTGCGCGTTCTGCCACCCAACCACCTCGTTGCCTTGCTTTTTTCTTCCTTGTCTTGATGTTTGTATGCAATTTAAATCCGTGCGCATATTATGGGGCCGGATAAATACGTGTTTTTGTGGCGAACGCGATAGAAAACCGGCAGCAGGCGTATCCGGACAACGACGTCGCGCGCGCGAAGAGACATCCACGAGCAACTCGGTGCCAAGAGCTCCTTGAGCAACTGGCCAGCCAACGCAAACGCTATCGATGCGCAGCGAGGACGCTCAGCAAAAGAGTTGTGCTTATCCTAGTGCACTGATGTACCACGGCGACTTCGGTGCACAGTGACTATGCTACGGCAGCATGGTTGGTGCCTTCTGCAATAGCGACCCTGCTGCCACGGTGCGGTTAGCCTCGCGGCTGGCTCGGCATTTGACTTTAGTGAGACTGCTGAAGTGGCCCTTTTTTCTATGAGTGTTGAGGCGCAGACAAGTATTGAGGTGCGGTAACGTTAGCAGAGAAGGCCTCGACGAAGAAAGGAGCAACTGGATTATGGAGAATGAAGCGTTGATCGCAATGCTAGAGAATGTGGGGTCCACGGGGGGTGATAACGACGATTTGGTCCTTTCGCGGGGCTTGGCGCGCGAGACGAGCCTGCACGGCCTTCACGGCCAAGACCATTACCGCTGTGGCTGCGACGACGGCGCAAATGACAGCGATGCCTGTCAACGTCGAAGCTGGTGGCACGTTGGACGAAGCGTTCAAAGCCAACTGGGACGAGTGCATTTGCGTGACGTTGACACCGGGGCACGGGAGCAAGTTGGTGCTCTGAGCGGAGACTCGAAACTTGCAGAATTGGCAGCTGGGGCGCCACGGGTCACAGCCAATACCGCCAATTGCAGCGCAAGATGGGTTCAGCGTGACGTCAATCCCAATGTTCAAGTCGGCTTGCGTCACAATGCACGGTACTGGGGCGTTGGCTGCCACGGGGCAATCCGCATATACCGTGTTCTACTCGCACCGAAGTGTTATGTCATCGTGAAGCCTCTGTCAGAAGTGTACGTACGCGGGAGCCTGGCTGGCGACATAGACGACAGCCGCGGCGATAAACGTCACATCCGTCGGCTTGGACATTGGTGACGCATAAGGGGTCATAGATGCTGCCAAGGCCCTGTTGCAAGCCAGCGGTGTCGACCGCACACACTGGTGTGGGGCACGTGTCAAACTGACAGGTCGAGTTCGCAAAGAGCACCATGCCGTTGGCGCAAACCATCGTCGTGTTGACGCACGGTGACGTAGCTGTGACGACTGGTGGCGGACACCCGACGTACGGCGCGCTCTGGGGCGTCCAAAACAGTCGGCAGATTCGGCAATAGGAATTGCGGCAGCCCATGGCCCCGCCGCCTTGGCCGCAAATCGGGTCGTTGTAGACCGATAGGCCCACAGCAATGTCAGCGCTCGACGCATTGCAATAGTTTGTCTGTATAAGGACAAATCGATGACCCCACCTTCGCGAATACTGCACGTACAGGTGGTTGAGGCACTGGAAACACAAGGGCGTTGAGCGAGGTCCACGGTTGACCATCGATTTTCGTCGACCAGAGCCCACCGAGCTGAGCAGCGATCGTGCGAGGCGCCATGGCGTCGGGCCCTAGGCGAATTCATGGTACAAACACTTGCGGAAATCCAATTACCCGACGTCGCCGCAATCGAGAAGATACCGAAATGCTCTTCCGCAAAGTAGCCCAGTGGCAAGAACGGCCCGAGAGGGGCGTGCGCCATGTCGTGGCTGCTCGGGCTGGTCTCCTTCCACCATTCGTCCGAGTACTCGAAGACAAAGCCGCCGACAAGCACCGGCATCTTGCTGTCGTCGCGGCGCATAAAGTTGCTTTCGAGAAACTTCGCCATCGTCATGAGGTACCCCCCAACGTTCCATTGCGTTTGGTCTACACTCCCATGAGAAATGCCACACTCCAAGCCAAAATACCAAACACTTCGTAGGCGTTACTGGCGAACGGCACTCCGTACTCTATCCCATCCCATGTGAATGGCAAGATGAGACGACGTCGTCGTACCGGAAAAGATGATGGGCCGCTGCGTGATCTGGGCGTGGGCTTGCACCTTGGCAGCGCTGAACCGGTTGTCGTACACGTCAATGCCCCAGATGTCGACCGTTGCGCCGTTTTGCTCGCCGTAGGCGATCGTCTGCCCGTAATCATCGATAAAGTTGCTCGTGAGGATCTTGGTGTTTGCACAGCCCGCGATCGACATGCCCGTGCGCGCCGCCTGCGTGAGCGCATTGAATTTCTGCCAAAAGAGCGGCGTCGCCAAATCCTACAGCACCAAATTATGCGTGAGCGCTCGTGTTGGCGAAACGTAGTCGCACGGGTAGCAAGTTGATCTCGCCCGCAATGACAAAGCCCATCGTGGCCGCGTGACACGAAACCTCGGTGGCCATGGCAAGGTAGGCTGTGACGTACGTCTGGAAGAGGGGGCTATTGAGGGGCACACCCGCCTGCATGACTGTCGGGGGCACCCAGACCGAGAACATGACGTATAGAGGGTTGACACCCGCGTTGTAGGCCGCGTCAAGGAAGGCCATGTGCCCCAACACATTTCCAGGGCTGTAGTTGTAGACCTAGAGAGGACCGAAAACATGTTGCATCGCCAGCAACAAACATAGTCGTACTTTGACTGCGTTGGCGTTGAGGTTCCGAAGCAGCGGCAGATCGCGTCGCCAAAGGTCGGGCTCCAAGAGCAAGTCGCCGCCGCCCCACTTGCCAATCGGCGTTGGCTGGTAGTTGATGCCCCGAATGAAAAAGACAGTGCCGTCCTTGAGCAGCGTCCGGCCACTCACGCTCCAGACCGAGTTGGGCATCTTTCGTTTACCTCTGGCATTTGAGAAAGGCGACCTGCGAAACATGGACGGTTACGATTCGCAACTGCTCTGCAACCCCCGTCGACTCTTCACCTTCAGCAGCCAACGACCAAATATTCTTGTTTTCTCTTACAAACGATATAGCCAATAACAAATTGCATGAAATCAGGCATATTGTAAATAAAATCACATTTGGAGATACGCGCGTCGACCACATTTTACGTTGTCATTCGACCACATTCATTTTTAGAGGTCAAGAGGACGAGACCACCGATTCCTTTGTGAGTGGTACGACGCCCGTGTGATTGCGAGCTTCTGACACTGGTGGCTTTTCGTGCTCGCTGCCGTCGCTGTCCAAATCGAGTTCGACGCTGTCGTTGGCTTGAATCTACGAAAAGAAATAAAAATGTATACCAATAAAACCCAAAGCACAGCGAACGTACCCAGGGGTACGCCGCAAAGAGGTGGTCGAGGCTCTCTTGGAACCCAATGGCTTCGTTAAAGTGCACGACTGACTTGTGCAACGAGAGCGAGTACAGGTGCGCGAGGCGGAAAAAGTTGGGTGAAAATAGCACCGGCACAATACGCTTCTCGCGGTTCTCGGCAAACGAGAGTTGGTCGGAAAAGACGTCCGAGACGCAGGACGCTTCCGAAAAAACGGGGATGAACGCGTCGCACTTGAGGATCGCGTCGTTGATGCTCAAGCCCGCGTGCTCGTGCTCAATGTAGGCAAAGACCCCTACGAGAAGGTGGGTTGATACGCGTTTGAAACAGCATATGTACCTTGGTCCCACAGCGCCGACTTGAGACGCCGCGCAAACTCGAGGTGGCAGTTGCCGTGGCTAATAAATACAAAGCGAGACGCAATGGCTTCGACCACGGGGTGTCGCATGCTGGCTTGGCGCACAAGCAACGTCGACCGCTTCACTGACGCAGCAGGTCGATCCATGCGCCGGAGCTCCACTTCGTTGCGGAGGCCGTCGAGAAGTGATGCGAGCTGCTGGTTGTAGATGATGTTGTCGACAACGACGGGTCCTTCCGAGGCAGACACAATGGCCGGCCGAAAGTCCACGAGTTGGCGGCTCCAGAGGTACACTTGCAGCTCGTCCGTCATTTCGGTCGTCTGCGCCATGACGGCGAC